CGTTTCAATGTGCGCTTTCTCTCTCTCTCTCTCTCTCTCTCTTTCTCTTTCTTGAACTAGCGCGGCCTTTCTCTTCTCTGCTCTGCTCTGCTCTGCTCTGCTCTGCTCTGCTCTGCTCTCCTCTTCTTCTTTTCGCGGTTCACGAACACCAGGCACACGCAAACCCTTTTTCTCCCACTCCGTCTTTTGGACCCTTTGATTTGTTTCACGGGACGTGGACCGATGCGCACCGTTCAACCGAGATACGATGATCCAGAGAAAGCCTCGAGCTATGGCCATCTGAATAGGGTCATTCCATAGGCACTTGGCATTTTATTTTTGATTATTTTCGAAGAACAAGAAGATTTTTTTTCGAATCGCACGTATATACGATTAGAGCGAGACCGTTAATAAATTTGGTCTTTACGTTTGTTAAGACGTTTCCATCTCGTCGTATAGTCGTTTCTTCGATGAGCCGAGCATGTGTTGCCCCTCGAGTGGATCGACCGAATAAAAAGCAGACAAATGATTTTCTAAGAATTTATGTCGCTGACGTTCGAACGCGACGTTCTTCGTTGGCTCTCGGCTCGATCTTTTAAAACGGATAATGCGTCTATGGATGGGCTCAACGAAACGATGGATAGGCGGTATACGACTTTTGATCTTTCTTAATGAACTCGATTCTATGCGTTTTCGATTGGAGACACTACCTCGTCGTCAAGAGTCTAATGTCTCTCGTAGAAAATGGATAGGTATTAGAGATTAGACGTATCATTGAAATGCAGTTTGACGTTGTTAAACGTTCGTCCTACCGTAGTTATTATATCGACATGGTCTCGCTAAAGAAAGAGACGAAGAAGAGACTACTAGGCACCGTCTTGCGTTAGCCATCGCGAACACTTGGAAGGCAATTTTTGTTATCAATGTAATATTCTGCAGCAGGAGGCCCCGGAAATGGCTCGTTGGCTCTCACTGCGCCCGTTCATTGCTACATCCGGCGAGACGTTCACCGGTATATCTACAATACGTACGTTTAAAAAGTCGATAACACTCGAAAATATTACAAACTCGTCTTCTTCTTTTTTTTTTCTCTCTCCTCCTGTCAGTCTTTTATTTAACATAATGCACTGCGCTCTACCGTATTTCCATTATTCACCGATCAACGTTGAGAAGATAAAGACGTTCCTTTGTACGCGCTTGGACGCTTGGATAAAGGATGAAAATAAAATTTCGTCGCTATCGCCGCTATCGTATTCGTAAGCGTAATCATATCTTCACGGTGTCGAAGAAAGAAAATCTTGCGGTCAATGCGTATACCTCTTTTTCTCTTTATCGCCGTATAACGTGGTGTATCGAGTGTCCAGAAGTTGGACGTCCAGCGACATTCGATATTTTTGCAGGGGCTCTCTCTTTTTCCCCTTCCTGCTGCTTCAGCACCGATAAACGTCTCTTCTATGTTCCAAATTGAATCGAGTTTAACGAGAAATTCTAAAAGTATAAAAACCTATATATTTTGCATGAGTTAAAGTTTGGATCGTAACACGTTACGATCTATCGCACGAATCTCGAATATATCGGCTTTTATGTGCCTTTGATCCCGAGCGTCCAATCGCAGTGATTAATTTCACGCAATGACATCGATTATACCAACGTCGGCCCTCTTTCGCGCGGACACAATTCTATCCTTTATGTCGTTCCTACGTGAAGCGTATATCAAAGCGATCGCAAGTTTTTATCCCCTCGAAAGAGTTACATGGGTATTAGTCGCTCGAACATGGAACAATATTTATTTCCTTTCTTTTTCATATATAGTACGACTTTTAGTCTTGACGTATTAACGATACGTACGATTAGAACAACAAAAATTCAGATATTTATTCGTGCTAATAAAGGATCGACCAAACGATTTTCTAAGGAGCGTACGTATGTATGTGTGTATGTATGCATGTATGTATGTATGTATGTATGTATGTATGTATGTATGTATGTGCGTGCGTCCGTGCGCGCGTGCATGCGAGCGAGGAAGAACGTTATCGACGTTACGAGCGAGATTGCTAATTATGGAACTATCGAGGCGGCACCGACGCGACTCTGTGGAAAACGAGCGCTCGGACCATTTGCGAACGCTTAACTACTTTTCTTATCGAGCAAAAATATTGCGCTATCCGATAGCCAATCGCATCTTTACACTCTTTTTTCGTGCATCTTCCTTTTCATTTCGCTTGCCTACGAATAAAAATTTTCTTTTTTCTTTATCCAACGAACGGATAACGGTTCAAATCGCATACCGATCGCGTCGTCTGCCAATGAGATATCGCGATATCGAGCGTATGCTCTAACGAGGCTTCTTCGCGTTTGGAAAATAAATATAGGAATACCTAATGAAAACTGGTTGTAAATTAGTTGTTAGACGGTAGGATATAAGGTGTACGAGCACCTGTCCAAGATCCAATTTATCTCGTATTCTCGGCTGCTCGGTGAATTTTTTGTCTACTTTCGTTGTGCGATCAAAGAAAAAAGAAGTGAAAGAGGACGAGAGGTAGTAGAGAGCGTGCCTCGGGCGGAAAAGGTCAGGGCTGGCGTGTGCCATAGTGCCGTGTAGTGCCATAGTTGTCGTCGTAGTGCCCGTAGTTAATAAAAACGGGCGTGGTAAGCTCGCGCCATACGAGTTGCTCGTTAACTCCTCGATCCTCGTATATGTATGTATCGTACGTTGACTCGCTTCGAAAACGATCTTGGCCTTTACGATCGCTTCTCTATGCATAAAACGTTAACGATCGATTTGTCGATCTCGTAGCAAATCGATAGAAACGCGATCGTACCATCCAGACACTCGATCGAGGCCAATCTCTGTACGTTGTCGAGCACGACAACGTCTCTCTCGTATTTACGTGACGTGGGGGGCGGACTGAAAGAGATCGACGATCGGCAATTTTCTCGACGTGTAATTTCACCTGTTGCACATCCGGCGCGTATTCGACTTGTAAAGGTAAACGAGCCGTGATTATCGACGGTTCCCGTGTCGTTTTTTCCTCAAGAGGAAGAAGACGAGCGCGCAGGAAACATACAAGCGCGTGTAAGAATATCGATGCGGAAAGTGAGAGAGAGAGGAGAGAGAGAGAGAGAGAAAGAGAGAGAGAGAGGGGAAGAGCATCGTTCCGAACGGCGACATTTTCTGCCAACGTCGTATTCTATATTTTCCATTTATTTCTTTTTTTTTTTCCCCCTTTAATCCTTTAAATCCTAAAGAAAAGTAATCGAACATGGACATTATTCAACGACGGAAGAAAATTCTGAAATACGTAAATATAATGTTTGTTTGGATTTCACTGAAGCCAATGTTGATCTCCGGAATAATATCGCGTCGAGATTAACTCCAGTACGACCCTTCGGATGGGAATCAAGTTAGGAAGGTTTCCCACAATCGAGTACGACAGCTACCCTCGTGACCCTTTTTCACATCGCAGCACCGAAACACATCGTTTCTCCCCTGGTAAATTGATTTTAGCCATTGCGTTAACGCGAGTCTCAGGAAAGTGCGCTTACTCACCATTTTGCCATTTTAAAAAAGGACAAAAGTGATCGAGTCAATCTTTCTTTTAGTGGCGGATATAGATTAGATTCGTTATATGAACAATTACCTACGGACTCGATCGATGGGCTAATCGATATCGTATAAGAAACGTAAATACCCGAAGAGTGTTTACCTCGTATTTATGTATTTACATCGTCGGTAAGGAGAACGCACGTACAAATATAGAACAAGGAGAAATATAAACAAAGGATTCGTTTCGTTAGATCCTTTTCAGTCTTCTGCGATGCTCAACTCGAAAGACACGCGTGTCGCTCGCGTGTGGAAAAGTGCCACGTGTTTCGGAGCGTGATGGAAGGGTCGCGGTGAGCCTTAGAAGAGGGTCGGTCGCGCGACTTCCCACGGTAACTATGGAGCATCGTTAATTCTATCGAACGAGAGGGCTTGTCTCGAGAGCGATCGCGTTATAGGATTGCGTTCGATGTCATTTCTTTCAGTCCCTTGGTCAATTTCGCGAATGTATTTACGAGAAATTTCATTTCTAAAACGGTCCGTGCAAAGGCCATTTTAGAAATGGTGTACATCGAAGAAGAAAAATATTCTAGTCAAGCGATAACGAGCGGATACACCTGCGAGAATATACCAGAAGGAATCCATGTGGCTGCACGTAGCCGCATGTAGACGTTTTTACGAGACGGACGCTTCTTTAATAATCCACGCACGATCGGATTGCGTGGTCGAGAGGTGCGATCTTACTCGGAGGAGATGTCTAGAGAAGGCTTCGCGACGCCTTTACGTACGATACGTACGAAAAAGGTGAAATACAATATCGTAAACGAATCTCAAAACGAGACTTTCTCCATGTTTTTTACGTCAAAGTATTCACGCGCAAGAATATTTTTATCCGACAATTGTTATTTAATTCTTGGAACAAGTTAATTGTTTCGTTCGAAAACGAAATGCGTTGTGTCGAGTTCGTGGAAGAAGAAAAAGAAAAAGAAAAGAAAAAAGAAGGAGAGGTAGGTAATTCGAATTTGCGCATCCGGTTTTCAGTTGCTCTACCGCGAGCTAAATGCTCGTTTACACTGATAATTAACGACGCACCACACCCACGACTCATTCGGTTTGACCCGGCCTCGCCGTCAATTTGTCGGCTCGTTACTCGATCGCCGGAACGAGTTTCTTTCGGAGGAGCTTAACGACACAGCTCCGAACTATTCCTTTCTCTTTCCGCGAGTTATTCGCTTGGTTTGATATCAAACGAAATTCAATGTTGATTTACTCAATCATATTATTTATATACGATCGAAATTGTCCGTCTACCTCAAATTTAATTCACTCTATAAATAGTTATAAATATACATATGTACCTATCTCTGTTCGTCGCGTTATTTACCAAAGAATCGATCAGTTTATTGTATGTTGTATACAGAAATTGGTGTTTTCGACGCGAACTTAAACTTACCTTACTTTCGGTTGTACGTTCCAGGTGGTTCTGCCACTTCGATGACGATAATTACGTGAACGTACCACGCCTTCTGAAGCTCCTGGACAATTACAACCCACGGGAGGATTGGTATCTTGGTAGGCCTTCGATACCAGCCCCTTTGGAAATCATCAGGCAGGGACCAGAGCCATCGAAACGACCGGTAACTTTAAGATATTCTCTCTTTCTTTCGTATCCCTTAATCACAGGCTTCTTACATTTTTGATAACGACATCGATTTCGTCTCTCACAAATCGTACTATATCTTACGAATCACCGTAATTCCTATCGTCGTTGCTATCGCTACTTTATTATTAGAAATGATTACGCAATCAAGACGACTTACGAAACGTTATTCGACATTAATCGTTTAGAAACGAGTCTCCTATACGAATCGAGTAATGTAAGTATGTAAACAAATTATTTGTTGTCACAACGTTGGAGAAATATCTTTATTTTTCTATTATCGACTTAGCGGCCTTTTCCTCTGGCCCCACGCCTCTTTCCCTTTTCGTATTTTTCTCCTCTTATGGCCTCTCTTCATTCAGCCTCGTTACGAGAGTTACCGGTCGAACCAGTATCGTTGCGCGAAATCGTTCGCATACGTTCGTGCCCGTAAATCGTGACTATCGATGACGCCTAGGGTAACCCACTTAGCACGCGACATAATCTTACGCAAAACTCGATTTCCGTCTTAATGCCGATCGATGTATTTATATACGTATGTATGCATGCTCCCTGATTTATCGGTATCCGTTATATTTGACACTCGGTCGACTCATGGTCGATCATGCTTTTAAAGGAGAAATATATATACATATAAAAGATGGAAACGTGACAGATTGGCGATTCGTTCGGAAAATCATCGTTCGTTTCTCGTCGTTGGTTCGTTGGCCGTTTAGTTTAGCAGCCTCTCTCGAGTCCGCTAACGCTCGGCAAGATGTAGAAGTAGCCGGTCTGGCATCTCCCGCGACCCCCCATGGGTGTGGTACCATCTTCCGACGAGCGAGATTATGGTCTTCCTTCGTCGACGACGGTACTCCCTGCGGGCTGCACGTACTCGTATATTATATTTGCTCGAGAAATCTCGAGACTTGGCGTGGAGGTAGATATAGAAGATGGTATATAACAGGGTGGTACGTACGTGCGCACGAGTTCCACGACTGCATATACCACGTATGCATATAGTAGAGCACGCGTTAGAGCGCGCGCAAGAATATACCTGCCGGTTATACTCGTTTTTACGATTTCTTCTTTGCTCTTTGCCACGCCCAAAATTGATCGTTCGATTCGACAAATTTGAACGATCCTTTAATATCTCTTTTATTTATTCTTTTTTTTTTAAGGCAAGGCCGCCGCAACGGCAGAAGTGGCCCAAGGTGCGTGCGTGCGTGCGTGCGTGCGTACCTTTGAAAATACCTATAGGTTTATTCGCAAAGAAAACGTAAGATGATGCTACAACAGTAGGGATAATTAACTCTGCTTAAAGCTTTTCTACGTAACGTGTACGTCGTTAGTTTGCATTCTTTCGGAAGGTGGTGCAACCGCAAACGGCGTCGCTGCGGTTTATCGTAGCACCTTTCTAGCGGGTGAAAGGACTACTCGCGCGTGTTCCCGCTCGCTGGAGAAACACGAAGCGAGAACTCTTGTGTCTATCTAAAATTAAAACGGTAGCGTCCTTTTGACGATCAATAGTCATTAATTATTGTCGACTTTCGACCATAATTCACTCGTTACTTTTTCTACGCGGATCGTGTCTCTCGTTGATCCGCGTACGAATGAACCGGAATTGATCCTTGATCTCTTTTACCTTGGACACCACCGAGATACGTATACAATGGGCACCACGCCCCGGGTGAAAGGGTGAACCCTGAGACCCACCAACGAAAGAGTGAGAGAGAAAACTCGCCGACGTAAAAGTCGGACAGCGTTGAGAAATAAAAGAGAAGGAGGAGGATACCAATGACTATATATATTCAACGAAGAATCGATGGCCGGTAATTGACGAAATGGTCGCTTTGCTTTTTAGATCATTTCAGTTTAGAAATAAGCTGCCAATGAACCGTAAAGTAGAAACTTACGACTAGCAATATAAGCAGGAAAATGTATCTACCTACGCTTACGCGTGCTGTCTCTGTGGGGATCGAGGAGCAAGAAAAGAGAAGAGAACGCGTTAGGCGTTTCTAACGTTCGATACGGCTCGATGCTCGTCGGCAACATGCGTCCCTTTTAACGTTAGCCAGAGTCTTGTCTTTTCCTTGCATATATATACATGTATATATGCAGCTACGGGTACATGTGCGTTTATGGCCGTTAGGCGATATGTACCAGAGCTCTTCGGGTAATAATGGTCTACTCGACGTTTCGCTTGGTTTAGAAAGCAAATTGGCTCTGAAGAATCGACATAGTCCTTGCTCGGTCTTTCCTCGTTTCTTCTCTCTCTCTCTCTCTCTCTCTCTCTCTCTCTCTCTCTCTCTCTCTCTCTCTCTCTCTCTCTCTCTCTCTTTCTTAAGGACTTTGATATATCGGTATAGTCGATCTGCGATGTTCTTCTTTATCATATAACGATCATTCAAGTCGCTCGAGTTTTTCTTTTTTCAATGGAATTTCAAGTTTAACAGAATCTGCTTCAATTTTATGAAAGATATAGAAAGTTTGACCATTTCGATAAGCCGGAATAACATTAAACTGTATCTTGCTTACAAAAGTTTGCCGTTTTACTCGTGTTGGAGTTTGCGTTTGCGTCGTCTTGGGCGTGTCTTCGACTAGTCGCGAGCGCGTTGCATCTTCCGTGCTTGGGTCTGTTCATCTCGAGAGGTCGCGAAAAGGAAGAAAAAGAGAGAGGCGAGGTGGAAGAGAAGCGAGACGCCAAAGATACGGAGCTCCAACGTGAAAGGATATAAGAGAGAGAGAGAGAGAGAAAGAGAGAGAGGAAAAAGGAAAGGAGGAACGGTAGGTGGCCACAGCAGGAAGGCGGTAAGGTAAGCCCGCGGCTCGGTAGTGGTCGCATTAATCATTCGAGAACGTAGAAGAAGAAGGTCTGACAATCTTTTGAAATACGACGCGTTTTATTAAAGTCATTTATCGAATCCGCGGCCCGGATCGCTGCCGATAATTATCGGCTACCATTCGTCTAATGGACAGACAGAGAGAGAGAGAGAGAGAGAGAGGGGGGGGGGAGAGAGAGAGAGAGAGAGAGAGAGAGGGAAAAGTTCGACATTTTGCTTTCATCTTCGAGATTTAAAATATGAAAATTCGTGTAGAAAAATTGTCGATTAATGTCGTCAATGTTCTGGTAATGAAGAATATGTTTCGATAGAAGAAGATAGTAGCCACAACGTCGGTCGGTATACGATGCTCGTTCCATTTATGGCGCCCTTCCGCTTGAACTAATGAAAAACCACAGAGTAGGCGGTCACGCGGAACGACGATATTCGTCGGACATCGTAAGAAACTTACGAGAGGTAGAGTTCGAACGTTACGTTCGGACTTTACTCGGTAGTAGTATTTAGTACGAGACGTCTCTCGTTTCTAAAATCGCAAGAATAAAACGATTTCTTTCGGGTATATAACACCTCTTACGATGCGATCAGAAAATTGCACCCTGTATCCGCGTAACTCTAAGGCACTCGTGCGTACACGCGGATGTGTGACACATGTCGTGCATTCCATGTTTGCTACCTCTCTCTCTTTCTCTCCCCCACCTCTTCCTTATCTTTTTCATCTTTTTCATTTCTTCCGTCCCTTTTCTCATGTCACAAAGTCATTTCGCTGACGTGAAAGCGGGATTATTATTATTCCATGAGACTGGCGTTTCTGTGGCTTTCTCGAAAGAAAAACAACGAGTCTCGAATCTCCTTTCGCTCGTTCGTCCCTTTGCCCTTACGATCGTTGCGGTTTCTGAACGAAGAGTAGTATGGATCGATGGAGAAGAGTTCGAAGAAGAATAGAACGAGGTAGCTGAAAGAGAAGGGAAGAGCTTCATGGTAATCATCGTACACGTTACGAAAAGGTGCAACCCATCCTCGATGGATCGTTTCTCTTTTCGCGTCTTTTCGGCAGTCCCTTTGTGTCGTTGCACGTATTAAGGTTCGAGCACGTATTAAGACTTTTAAACAGCGATGATAATGGACAAAATTTGTCTTTCTTCCTTTCGAGATGAAAATTGTACGTGGTGGAATTCGTTCGCGGACTGTGCGGTCGTACGACGGAACAGGGCGAGACGATTGGCAGCATCAGGCGCTATCTGAAAAAATGTTAATAATAATAGTAATAATAATAATAATAATAATAATAATAATAAAAAGAAAGCGAGGAGAAATTAACGGGGAATGCGCCGAGTATACGCCGAGAGGCTTCCCTCTATGCGGCTAATTGCGTTAAGATAATTAAATCGAGCGCACCGTGCGATTCCGTGTAATTACGAGGCGTTCCACGGAATGCCGATTTAATTTCTTCTCGTCGTTCTCCTCCTCGTCTTTTCCTTTGCCATAGAGTTTTGCCGATAGAGGAGCTCTTGGAAGAGAGGAGAAAATTTTTGTGGATCGATTTTTAATTTTAACAAGGCGAGCGGAGCAGTCCTGAGAAGATCTCCCAAGGGAGTTCTAGAATCGAAAGAAAGAATACCGTGCGACTACTCGTCTCCTCCTCGTCTAGTCCTTCCGGAAAGCAGGAAATAAAAGGGTATAGGGGAGGCAGAACGCGTTACGAACGTGGGAATTGTTCGCGGGGTGCAGACGTCCGTGAAGTCGATTCCCTCTTGGTCGTTGCATTTCGTGTTTACTCTACCAGAAAATCAATATCATTTACGATGACGATCATTTTTTTTACTTACCGTTATTATTATTTCTTACATCCTAAAGGATAACCGAAAGCATAAGGATCAACGTAATATGTAAACCACGAATAATGGGGCAGTTGACTTGCCCAAAAGAGTCAACGATCTAAAGGGAAAACGCACCTGTCATCGGTGCAATTACCTATCTCGAATGTCGATAAGGTTAAGTTACGCGCGTAACTCGATACCGATGAGAGCGAATATAAAGGCCTGTTACACCGACCTTCTATTTCGTTTTCGAAAATCTCTTTGTTATATAAATCGTTGACTCTTAGCTTCTATTAGCTTTTCACGTTGCATCGGAACTTCGCATAAGGGACCGGACGTTTTAATAAAGAGCAGCCAACTAAGACGATTTTAACGTTAACGAAGCCTTTCGTAATTGCGTTCACCGCTGGCATTGTTCGTAGAAACGAGCGGAATTACAATGGGTGTGTTCGCGTGACCCGTGACGACCGTAAGTACGCGAGTACGTCGACCAAGCGGAAGAAAAAGAAAAAAAAGAAAAGAAAAAGAAAAAAAAAAAAAAAAAGAAAAATAAGAATCTCGGCTCATGCTTCTCGATGGCTTTGCAATTTTCTTCGAGGGTCGTTGTACCAGAAAGAAAAAAGTAGTCTCGCGCGATACTTTATTAGTATCATATGTGGGATGGGGTGAGGTGGGGGCAGGGGGAAAGAGTAAAAGAGGGCTGCGAAGGAGGGAGACTCGCTCGTGACCCATGACGGCCTCCACGAGCACGTCGACTCTAGATGCGTATCCTCTTCTCCTCCTTGCTTTGCCTTCGGCTAAGGTGGAGAGGATAGAGAAACGGATGCTACGGTTCCTACTTGCTCACGTACGCTACCTCCATTTACTTCCATATTATTATAGCCGGTCGCTTCTCTCTCCCTCCCTCTATCTATCTATCCTATATCTCCTGGCACCATCTTTCTCTCGCGCCAACAACGGAGGATCGACGTTACCACGAGGCAAGCCTTTCTTACTTCCTCTCTCAAAGATTTTTTTATTATACCTATGTGTTTTTATCAATACGCATAGGTAGATATGAATAATCTCATAGAAAGATAGGAGATGCTATTTACGTAGTGGTAAAGAGAAATCATTTTTCCCAAGACTTTCCATCTTGGATCTATTTTTTTTCCCTTTTAAATGAGGATTAGAAGCGCGCGAGCACCCCACACCAAGAAATTATCGGATCGTTCCCATCTCTCTATTCTCACAGGCTAAATCGAGCGAGATTTCCTTTTTTCTTTTTTTCCATCTTCTCTCCTTTTGTTCGTGGCGCACCGCCGTACTAGCGGCGTGTAGACACACGTACAGCAACAACGTGATTTTCTTCGATCGCCCGTGTTCGAGCACGCGCGAACGAGCGAACCCGCCTCTCACCCGTAATTATTATACGTTAATAACGACCGCTTTTAACTCCCGCTTTATTATTACTCGCTCGTTCGAATCGCCATTCTATACCGCGACTGGCTGCCTCGCTCGTTTTCCTAATAACCATGATTATATATCGATAGAACGTAATAAACAATGCGGATCGTTAGAGATCAGCGATCGGTGGGTTCTCTTTTCGATTTTTTTTCCAAGCAATTCTTACGCGTTTCTCGCACGTGATTAGAATAATTTTGTGAGTGGACAAATGTGCACAGTCAAAGATAGAATAGAAAACGTAAATACATGCGGATACGTAAGCGCGTGCATAGCTATCGACGAAGATTCGCCGATCGAAGAAGAGCGCGCGACCTTGTGTTATTCAAATGCACCGGAGCCGAGGAGAGTAAACAAAGAGCTGACTCCGCGCCCCCTTGTAAAAGCGGCCCGATTCTATCTACCTTTCCTATCCTTCTTGTATATCTAATGCGTCCGTGAGGTCCCGTCCTTTCCTCCTTGAGAATGCGATATAACTACCGCGTCGTCTACTGCGCGCGTGTCGCTCTTCCATCCTCATTTCTTTTCTCTATATACTTTGCCCTAAAATTCATCTTATTTAGTTTCACCATCAGTCCGCTTACTCACGTCGAACGATTATTATCGAATCAGGAGGAAGAAAGCGCAGACCTACTTGGCTAGGAAAGAAAAGAAGAGAGAAGAAAAAAAAAAGAAGGATGTGGTTAGACTTATAACGGTAACGGTCCACGATAGCCTCTCGTTACTTGACCTTACGATCATACACGTATAAGTCGAGATATAGGAAGGGACGGAAGGCTGCTTGCTTGCTAGCGGGCACGCTACGTATCGTGTTGGTGCACGTACCACACCCAGGCTAGGAAAGTACGAACGGGAGAGAGAGCGAGCGAGCGAGCGAGCGAGAGAGAGATATTGAAAGAGATGGTATCGCTCCTACAAGTCCAGCCGTAATGGCCGGCAAGCAACGATGGCGATCCTTCGGAAATCGGCTCAACGCTCGTAACTCTCTCGAAATGTTCTTTCCAACGTTCGTTTCTCTTCCTCCTTCTCTCCGCTGGCTCGTGGATTCGTTTGTTAATCGGTTCGTGCGGTTCGTGCAGATCAAGAGAGAGAGAGAGAGAGAGAGAGGAGGGGGGCAGTGTATTCGACTTTCCAGGTCAGCGGGAAGAAGTCGATCGGAAGCGAGTTTTGTTTTTTTTTCTTCCGCCTCTCCTCCTCCATCCTCGACCTTGCCGCTATCTTTCGCGATCGATGAAAAGTACCGTTCTTTTCGAGATTAGCTAGACGACGCCGTCTAAAGGCCTTTTGGATACGACAGCTCGTTCGAAAGATGGAAATTGGATGACCGATAGAAAATTGATCGTCGAGAGGAGAAAGTGAAAAATCGATGATCTCTCGGTATCTCGGAAAGGATCATCGACGTACGATTTGTCGTACGAAGGGAGCGCGACGTGACGGTCGATCGATCGGAGCCATCGATATATCCGGATCGATATAGCTGGATCGAGCAAAAGCGAAACGATCGTTACTACTCTATCCTCGATAGAGATACCTACCTGGTCTAGTCTTTTCTACGAGATCGATCCTATCGGAGCCTCCGATCGTACTCACTTTATTCCTCTATGTTCCAGCAAAAGGTCAGATTTTGGTTCGCTACAGGCGGAGCTGGATTTTGCATCAGCAGAGCACTAGCCCTCAAAATGACGCCGCTTGCTGGGTGAGTAGTCCATTTATTTCGCATCAACGAGATAACTTTTTGCTTCACGTTAGATTCTATGACGCGACGTTTAGGTCACGGCACACACGGCCTACCGTCGAACCAACGATGATTCTCGAGAACGGAAGGTCGAGGAAGGGTTCGCTTTAACGTACCGATCGTAAATCATTATTTACGGCGCACGGTGGTCGATTGTTTGTCTTTGCTCGTTTCTTCCAACCAATCACCTCGAGCTCTTTATCGTTATTAACGATGTCAAAAGGTGCTTGACCGAAGGAAAAAGAAAATACAAATTGTTCTATATCTCAATGTTTCTCTATATTTCGATTAATCGTTTCTATTTCGTAATATTTCGTTTGAGATAATAAACGCGCGAGAGAAATATTTCGAAAGGCGATCGAGTGCGTGTAACACGCGATACCAACTCGATCCTTCTCGTTTATTTCATTTTTTCCTCTCTATTTTATTATTTTTCTTCTCTATTTCCTTTCTCCCGTTCTCTCCTCGTTCCTCTCAGCTTTCGTCCTTCCGAGTCGTAATAGCCAGCGATTACGCTCGCGGAAATGCTTCGTCACGGAGCTGCCTACGAATCTTTTCGTTCTTCTCTTCTCTTCCCCCTCCTTATTTCGTGTTAGGGTCTTTACGCGAGACTCGAGGCGACCACCCTTCGAGAAATTCCAGCGGGAAGCAACTTCCGGAGAGTTAACTTTCCTCTACTCGCTTTCTGCGGATTATATTTTATACATATATAAAATATATAAAATCTTTGTGACAGAGCGTAGACACGTTTGTGGATCTTCTACCAGAAATGTAAATTATCCGTCGTTCGTTCGATCGTCTGCGTAGGAGAATGGCGCCCGTCGTCGGCAGACGTTCCGCTCATTGATTTTCCAAAGGACGTGTCTCGCATCTATATCACCGAGAGCCCATGATCGACCGTGATCGTTCCAACGCCAACGTCTTTGTCGTCGAGTCTTCGACATTGACATCGAACTCGCCGATCTGAACGTTCAACGTCCAGACCTTTTTAATGTCTTCGAGTAAAGAGCGTCTACTTTAACAAGACGCAAATTGCGATAGTAATCGCCCGGGAGTTTGATTTTTTCCAATACTTCCCGCATCGCAAAATGCCATGGTTCTTCTTCTCGATCGAGATCGAGAGATTCGACGAATCTCCGGGACGAATTTACCGGGCGTCAATCGGTGCACAAAGAATATACGACATACGGGATAAGAAATAATGGACAGTTCTCGTGATCGGGAACCGGCCGCTTAATTAGGAACGAACGAAGAGACGGCTCTTTCTCTCTCTCTCTCTCTCTCTCTCTCTCTCTCTCTCTCTCTCTCTCTCTCTCTCTCCTCTTTCTCCTTCTCGCGACGATAGCGTCGAGACGAGCGACGTACGATTGCCACCCACGAGTTTACGATTGCGCGCGCACGAGCTTGGTCTACGATAAGACCGCAGCGAGACTAACTTTTTCCTTCTCCTCGTTGCGCTTATGTTTATGCATTATGCATTATGTTCCCATATTCGCTGCGCGTTTTGCGAATTCCATGCCCGGGCCGGAAATTTCAACTATGTTGTCTCGTGTATGCGTATACGTTTTCGAGAGAGAGAGAGAGAGAGGGGAAGGGAAGAAGCCGAGGTGATTCGACGAAGCTCAGCCCCAAACTCTCTTCGATTCCATTATTGCTCGCTTAATTGGATTCCTCTCCGGCGATCGCCAGTGATTCCTGCTTGCGCGCCTATCGGTATCCAACGAACCTCGTCAAACCAATTTGGGCATTCCCCTATAGCTATGTTCGCCACCCATTCTTCTTTTCCTTTCGATCTATACCTCTTCGATCTATACCGAATGTGCAATCCGAGCAATTTTTCAGGATTCGTCATGGTGTATCATTAATGTCGGCGGCGAATCCAACACCAAATAATATAATAATGTAATATATAGTGGTAAAGCTATCTCATATATTCGAACGGGGAGAAGAAGTTTGCAACGGATCAACAAAGTGAAATCCATCTTCTTTTGCCTCCTACGGAGAGTATCTCTTACGATCGTAGATCAAAAGGAGTAATATTTGGCGCAAACTAAGGACGATAGAGAAGATCCTCGAGAGCCTCTATTTTAGGAATCCTTTTCGGCCGAGCTTATTAACGAAGAATTCCGAGGGAATCCGTCCAAGTGAAATATTTCGTTCGGTGACGCGTCCGTCGTCGGTCGTTATTTAACACTGAAGCAAGACGAAAAGCCGAGGCCCTCCCTCGGTCCATGCGCGACGACGAGGTAAACCCCATCGGCGAGAAGTCCCCTTTCTTCCTTTCTTTCCGGCTCGCTTAACCCTCGAAAATTTCGTTTTCGTCGAGGCAGGTATTTTAACGAGGACGATATTCCGTGTCGGCGGTTCCGAAAGGACGAGGCTGGCCAGGAGGGGGAGTGAGATAAAAGGGTGGAGAAAAGGGTACGCGATTTCGGGACTAATCTGGCCAATTAAAAAGAGCCACGACCGCCTGGTCAGAATGGAATGGAGAATCCACCGATGGTATTCGCTAATGAGTACGCCTGCCGAACCTACTGTCTCTTTTCCGTGCGCGGTGCCACTCGTCGTCCGTCGTTGCCCCGAGGACGCCGTACTCTCCAATGGCTCCCATTCGGGAACTCGCTGCTCCTTCCTCTATATCGCCGTTATCTTGTTTTACCTACTCGACTGCACCTGCGCCAACCTGACTACTTGCGCCTCTCTTCTCCCTCTCTTCCTTTATAACCGGTCAAGGAACTCGCTCACGTTCGCGCGCGCTACCGCTTCGTCCTTCGCGGTCAAACTACAATTTTTCCGCTTTGCCAAACGATCATACCTTATTTATTCTTCTCTTTTCAACGATGACTTTGTTCATTCTCGAATACCTCTTATTCGAATTTCTCTTCCTCTCAGCGGTTTCCCTTTGAGAGCCAATCCGCTGTTTCGCGATTCTAAGGTGGTGTGGCCGATATATAGACCGGTTCGATGAACTTTGCGACTACCGCAGGTTGGGTCCTCTAATTGGGACGATTTATGCCCTGCCGTCCAGTATCCGTCTCGTCTCGTCTCGTCTCGTCTCGTCTCGTCTCGTTTCGTCTCGAGCTCGAGTTCACCAACGAACCGACGAACAAACTCTTGCTTTTCATCGAGCAAATATCGGGAATCTATGTGCTTAATATATATGTATACATATATATATGTATGCCGTAAAGAGCCGCAAACTTTTTCTCCAACCAGTTTCTCGCGAGCCGCGGCGACGCGTTGACTGGGGAGATGAACGAATAAATAGCAGGTGCATCGAGGAACTTAATCCGCTATATGGTTGGAATCTTGCTAAATTAAGGACCAATTTTTTCCCCCTCGGCGCATTCACGAGTCGGAGAAAAGCAAGATACTACACTTTATTGATATTATTAATTTTTCCTTCGCAGAGGCGGAAAGTTCATCACCGTAGGCGATAGGATCAGGCTTCCCGATGACGTAACCATGGGATATATCATCGAGTACCTTTTGAAGAAGCAGCTGACGGTGATCGAGCAATTTCATTCGCATTTGGAACCGATGAAGTTTCTCAACAAGGACACCTTTCACGAGCAGGTAATTTTCTCGTTACCGAAGGAGTAAGGAAAACGCGCTCGAATGGAATTCCTTCGTTCGTGATTGAGAAACTCAGGAATGCAAAAGTAGTGTATATATATATATATATATATATATATATATACATAATTGGAGTTCAAAATTTAAATCTCCCAAGGCACCTCGCAACAACGACAAATTTACATACTACCTGCTATTTACGTTTCTACTTTTCATGCTCGGTTAACCGTGAAAACGGAAGCCACTCGACTCTACGCTCGATTCGCTTGGATGACACAAATATTTGATTCCTCCCGAATGCCTTGCTCATGTATTTTTCGTTCGACGTACTCTTTTATTTACGGTTTCTAACGTGAATTAAGAAATTGTCACTTTTTTTTTTATCGTAGGTATCTTTCAGTTATTCGAAAGGCGCACGAGATGAATGGAATATTCTTAAAATCGATGGGTTCGATACGAAGGAGGATCCAAGAAGGTAAGTCTCTTTCGTTATTAATCTTTTTTTATTAGAATTGTCTAAACTCCGATGCTAGGAGAATAAAGCTGACGGAGTGTAATAGGCAAGAGAAGCGACGTTTCTCGGTTTGTTCCGTAAGGTTCTCTCGTAAAAGCTTCAATTACTTGTATAATTGGCGCGTCCGCGTTTGTGCGAGGAGGACCGAGTGCGTCGGTGAATGTAGAAATATGCGAAGAGAGAGAGAGAGAGAGAGAAAGAGGTAGAAGGAAAGGTAACGGCATAAAGATGAGATTGCGCATGAGGCCGCTGCTGCTTTTACAACTTTTAATTGACTTTATAATAATTACGCTATTTAAAACTTTTATGCCGTTATTTCCTTCCACTAGCAACGTTATCCTACAAAATTGTGATCCCTTTATTTTTGCCAAATAAAAGATTTTCTTTATCTTTCCATTTCAGATTCAAATCTATCCATTGTCATCTCTTCCCACATCTACCGAATTGTCCGCACAGGTGATGATATCAGGGACGACGAGAGTCGTTAATGAACGAAAGAAGAAACGTGGAAGGAAATTCGTTAACGAGAATGCGTATTTTCTGAATCAAATCCGATCTCGAATCGCTCGGACCTTTTTCCATCGATCGGTACACAAGCCGATAACGAAATTAAAGCGATAAGATATCCCCTTACTTCCTTGTATTTCTTGCCGTTCGTAATATTTCATATAGATAAAGAAGATGCCTTTAATTCTGGAAATATTTGAACAATTTGTACATCAGTTTCGTCAGCTCGTTTGCATAGATAGTAATTATAGTAAGAATGTAATTAGTCCTTTAGTTCTTTCTAGACTCGCTTTAAGCATTTAATGGTAAACTTTAGTGAATTTTTGGTTTGTTCTTTTTAAGAAAAATATTAAGGATATCGACGTTTCATAAGATAAGTTTGGAATAGCAAATTGTAAAATTGTATAATACGATAATCAATCTCTTTCGCGAGAGTTAAAATTATCGAATATATATATATATATATATATATATATATATATATATATATATCTATGTGTGTGTGTGTGTGTGTGTGTGTATGTAAGGAAGTTACATATCTTACGTTAAGAAAGCGAGAAAGATGTATTTAAAACGTATGAATCGAGAAATAACACGTTGTACATAATCATAAAATAGGCGGCAAATGACGTGCGCGTTTCTCGTGATCGAGAAACGAAATTATTTTACGCTAGTCCATCGCGATGAGAAGTTTGCTAAATCGTTGACGCCTGTACGCGCGAGTATATTACAAAAGTGATGCATATCTGTACATAACGAGTAAGAATCGATAGAGCGACGTCTTTAATACAGGTTCCTCTGCGATATATATGTTACTTTTTGACGGGACTTCGAAGCGACGAGCGTACGGTGTGCAATATTTGTGCGAATTATGGCAATTTGTATTATCTCTAATAGCAGTCACTTATAATCGGGACCAAAAGTTGAAAGCTTTTTCTTCTTCGTTTCTTTTTTTTTTCCGCCATTGTCATTTCCTGTTCCGGATATTTTCTAATTTATTTGCACCTAACGCAAACTGATCGAAATATAAAATTCTTACGAAACGTGATTCATATAAGATGAAATCAGGTCGGCCTGTTGTATACGTAGTAGAAAATTTATGGTGGTGCTGGAAACACGAAATGTAAGATACAACTACGTTGCGCAATGATGTTTTATATAAGCTGTACATAAATCAAATATGCTTTTTCGTTTTCATAGATGACCTTCGTAGATTTTCCTTTTCCGGCTGATTCTCATTTTCCAAGTATGACGCGATACGCAAGGGGAAAAAAGAAAAATAGCGCAGGATTGATTGATCGAAGAGTTACCTTCGGAAATCTACGCTCTCGCCATCTGTTGTCTTTACGAGCAACCGTATTGACAGTCGATAAAGTCGGAACCTATTTTCGAGATAAAAGTATCAATACCGTTATTCGCTATATTTAACGCGATACGCGAGCGTAAATCTATAAACGCGATATGCTATCGTTCGAGATATGATTTTTATCGCTTTTGATAATAGGCAGTGATTACCTATGGACGATAAAGTACTTTTACAACTTAACTTTGTAGGAATTTAGCGTACGTCTTGTTTAGAAATTGATTACTCGATAGAACGATAAAACTATTATATCTCCGAGTTAAATGAACGGGTTGCGACGTAACTTTAAAATGCGATCCCAATATTATGTATCATAGAAATGATTAAGGATAGATTCATTTATCAACGGTGGATAAATTAACCGTATAGTCGACCATTAAGAATAAATGTAAAATTTATCTCATTTAAAGATTAATCGGATGCATTTTGAAAAAATTGTTCTTACGGGCGAAACGTCGTTTTGAAAAACGTTCAAAGGCGACACTGCGCGACGGATGAAATGGACGGAAAAGGAGATAGTAGGTTATGGGGGTTGAAGCGAGAGGAATTGAATATTCGCATGTCGGATGTAGAAAATATATTTCATATCCCGTGACGCATATAAAGATTCTCAATTGGCAATCGTACGGGATCGTACTTTCAAAATTCTAGTTTAGACTTATCTAGGCATCTTTCATACCTTTTTTCGAGAAAAAGTACGAGTAAAGTTTTACGAAGTAAGATGTTTACGGTACTTTTCGCCAAACGACTTTCACCCCCATACTCCCGAAGAGCAATGTCCATTCGTTATTTCAAAGATCGACTACGATAGAAAACTTTTCCTTCGGGTATTTGACGCGCGCATATCTTCATTAGAGACATCTCTCCTTACCCTCGTAGAAACTTCTTTTTTACGACTAATATTTATAGATCGCCCTCTCGATCTTAAGGGAAAATAAAATCATAAATATTTATTTAATGAAAACGATTAAACTTATTTCTTTATTTTCTTTTTCTCAATTCGTTCGAAGGAGGAGGAACTCGCAAAATGAAATATCGATGACGTTCCGTAGGAACGTACCATAGAAAAGAGGAGAAAAAAGAACTTTACCCGTTGGAGTCAACGCCTAGAAAGTCTTGCCACCGAGCTGTAACATTGAAATTTAATAACCGACGTTCGTTCGTTCGTTCGTTCGTTCGTTCGTTCGTTCGTTCCATTTGACGTTTTCTCAATATCGACGGGCAAGCCTAGTGCCGTTCGAAATTACGAGCCGGACCGCGAATACCGCGGTTATTCCGGATAGCAAGAAGACAGCGAGAAGAAAAAAGAAGAATCCTCGCCGTTCATGCAACAGGAATTTGGTCTTTACTATTTTTGGATCATCCAGTTATTAGCGAAACTATGGAATTTCTTCGATCGTCGCGAAATTATAAAGAAATGATTTTTCTTCCCGAAGATTCCATTGAGGAGAAAAGTCGCGAGATACGGTCTGGTTCGTTGAATGACGTAAGAAAGGCAGAGGAGGATGGCGAATGGCGTGACGTAAGAGCAACATCGTGTCGCGAACGGCGAGCACCCTAGAACATTCGAATTCGAATGTTCCTCGTAACTCAAAGCAAACGGCACAACTATTATGTTAATTAATTACACACATTCGACATGTAATAACATTTCTCTAGACAATTCATCGAGAAGCTTTCTCTTTCGTAGATCCTAGTCGTCAATCGCGGCAGAAAGGAAAATCTAAGAATTTCTTTTCGCTCGACCGTAAGATCTTATTGGACCGTTCGAATTCTGGACGTTGGTCCGGCACTGGAAATGAAGAGGAGAGAGAGAGAGAGAGAGAGAGAGAGAGAGAGAGAGAGAGAGAGAGAGGCGGGGAGGCAGAGAATCGTATGTAGGTCGGAACGACGCTCGCAAGACCCGGTTTCGTTCCCATCTCGACCCTTTCTCCGAGGCTGCTTCGCCCCCAAAACCGAGCCTCCCTCTTTCTCTCGAATACGATATCTCTCCTCCTTGTCCACGTCATAATACTGGATATTCGCACTCTAACGAGTTTCGTCGTACCACTCCCTCCCTCTCTCTCTCTCTCTCTCTCTCTTTCTCTATTTTCTCTCTCCCTCTATTCTCTATTTTCGGTATCATATTAGCATATTGTACAAGTCGAGAAGAGCCTTTCGAGGGCAAGATAATATAACGTGTACTTTTCGCGTTACTTGTTACGCCTAACGAGGAAAATTCGTTAAGGATGAAAAGTCCTTTTATTCGATAGAGCGATCGAAGGCGTCGCGTCTATATGGCTAATGGCTGGCACCTGATATCGTTCTCTCGATGACAAGTCGAGTTCAAATTTACAGGCGATTTCAGGTAAGCGACGCAGGTCTAACTAGTTAGACTACACGTACGTGGTAGTTAGGTAAGAGGAGGCAAACCTCGGAGAATCTCATTCCGCGATGCGGAGCGTGCGAAGGAAGACGAACGAGTTAAATTCGCGATGGAATAGGCGAGAACGTTTTCGTCCAAAGAGACGTCCTGAATATTCAACATCACGGCAAACGTTTTCATTAGGTAGAAAGAGAGCTCGCGTAGCCTTTCTTCGTCACATCTCGTGGAATTACAGCGTACGTGTATGGGAACCGGATCATTACGGATCTTCGACGGATCTCGAGTATTTCTCCTCACGCCTTCGAAATTTTCTCAAATGGAATTTTCAAGGAGTGTACACGTTTCGTTATCGCTCGCAAATCTGGTAGCAAATCGAGTCGCAAATCGACTCGCAAATCGACTCGCAAATCGACTCGCACATCGATTTGCAATCACGAGGATTTTTGTCACGGCCTCTAATCAGGCCGTCGAATTTCTGGAGCGTCGAAACGATCCTGGGCGAGGGACTACGGACAATGGCCCGACGGTTGCCTCGTTTCTTTCTCTTCTCGGCGCCTCACGCTCGCGCTCCTCCGGGAATAATAATCCCGAGAGAGAGAAAGAGAGAGAGAGAGAGAGAGAGAGAGGAGGGAAGGAGATCCTTCCCGAGGAACTTTTCCTTCGCCGTTACTCTTTCGATGGTCGATAGTCGATATATATCTACGTCGGTTGTTATAAAAGGGTCGAGGAACAATAACTTTGTACGATATTTTCAAATTCCGCGGGCAGCCTCTACTACAATGAATCGCATTATTCCTTTTAATCGTATAATAAACGTGCCTATCGCCGACAGCTGCGCCTTCGCAGCTTATTTAAGCGATGATAAAGGCTTTCGAGAAAGCCAAGTGTTTATCGTTCTCGGCGCATGCGCGTATCATTATCGAGTCCTCGATTAGTCAATTAAGGAGAAGCGCGCGTGATTTACGTTTCGTTCGTAACGAAAGGCAAGGTTTTCGATAATTCTTTTTATATTGGTCCCTAGCGGAGTTTGCCGTCAAACGGGAAGAAAGATATAGAGGAAAAGAGTAGGTAACGTCTTTGGGCTCGCGCGCTCAACGGATTCGATTGTGCGTTCTCGTTGAGCGCGCCACGGCGGCGGCGGCGGCGGCGGCGGTGGCAGCGGCGATGGTGGTGGGTCCTCGGATGGTGTAGTCTGCGCGCACTGATCGATATGGAGGGGCGGACGCAATCCAAGGACGCGCTCGGGGGCTGCCGCTGGTGGTTGTAGAGGTGGTCTTGCTGCTGCTGCTGTTACTGCTGCTGCTGCTGCTGCTGCTGCTGCTGCTGGTGGTGGTGGTGGTCGTCGTGACTGCAGGGTACTGCGAGCTTGTGGGGACACACGGTGCTAGGAACGGAACGTCGTGTCGGTGTATGTCGGTGATGCGTGCTAGTCGCGATGCTTCGACCGATACCTCTCTGGTGGGGATTTCTGCGAACGGAGGAGAAGCACGAGGGAGAGAGAGAGAAAGAGAGAGAGAGAGAGAGAGAGAGACGTGGACGACAGGGGAAACGCGAGAGCTGCCGAATAGCGTGCCGAGGGTTTATCAGTGCGAACCGCGACGTCGACGTGAAAACGTCGTTAACGGCGCCGCGCCATTTTCCGGGCCATCCCTCGTCCTCGCTTTAAAACTGGGTCAATCCCTCGTGCGCGAACCGACCGACCGACCGACCGACCGACCGACCGACCGAACGAACGATTTTTATTATAAATCAATTCCCGCCACGTTTTTTTTCTCTCCTTTTTACTTTTCGCTTTACTTTTATTCGTTTCCTCCTCTTTGAGCGCAATCGTATCTTTCTTTTCTTTAATTGGGTACGAGATCGTCACTTTCAAACATGAGCATTTCTTATCGACGATACGACGTTTCCTTTAACCCCTGCGAAAATGATAACCCCTGAAAAAATATATGTTTCTTTATTTTCTATTCTTTTCTTTTAAAATTTTTCTCTTTTTTAATTTAGAAATCGACATGTAGACAAGTTATTCGGATTTAATCGGAACGTAGGTATACGCGTGTATCGGTGGCCGCATCCCTGGCATTTGTCGTTCGATGGACCGCCGGGTCGCTCGTTCGCGATTCCGTAACCAGGTCAAGCGTGCTCTTTTCTTTGGTGACCTTCGTTATGCGAAATCAAGGATTCTTTTCATCCGCGCCGGATCATTTCTCGCATCTCGGTTCTAATGCATTCGCGTCACTTTTTATTTCATCGTTCGAGCTATTACAAGAATTTCTATATTGGTCTCTCTCCTAGAGTAACCTCGAATTGATCTTTGATCAAACTCGACGACGAGTTTGGCCACGAGTTCTTTTAACGTAATTCAACTTAAAAGAAAAGAAGAAAGTTTCAAGTACGCGTGACACGCGTTCGGAAACATTTTCTCAAGATGGAGAGCGTTCTCTTCATCGATCGACTCGAAAGACGTTCGAACGGCTTAGGAAAAAAATAACAGACTTTCTCCCCCTAGGGAAGCGATATACTTTTGGACGAACGACGATGTTTCTTTCTTTTTTCTTTTTCTCTTTTTCTCTTTTTCTCCATTTCCCCTAGGGAAAAATACCATTTTCTCTTGGACCCTTTCGAAAACGATCCTTCTTCGCATGTTGGCGCGCATTTTTTATCGCGAGCTTTCCCTCTTTTTATCCATTCCGTTCGAGACCCTTTCTCCAAGTAGAACGATGTCTTTAGGTAGGCGACATCGGGAAAGGATAACGACCAATCCAAAGAAGAATGCCTCTATATCGTATTCGCGGACTCGAAGATAAGCGAGTCTCAAAGATAATTGAGTGATCGTGGGGTAAGAGGAAAGAAGTGCGAAGAAAAGCGAAAATTCAAAGAGAAGAATAGGAGGGAAAGAAGAAGCACCAGAGAAAGAGGAAGAGGGAGGAAAGAGTTTGACGTTCGTTAAGAGGTTTCGATAACGAAATGTCAGTTCAAGAATCAGAGATTCGTCGGAGCACGGCTCCTCCGTCTCTTCTTCGGTATAACGATATTGCGGAAGGTTGCGTCTGCAAATTTGTCGGTATTCCAGGTACTTGAAGCTCATTCGTTTTTTTTTTCCTTTTTCTTTTTCCTCTTTTCATTCCCCCCCCCCCCCCCCGCCCCATTTGGACACATCTTTTGCGGAAAATTCCAAAAATTATTTCAATCTTTTATTCTCTTTCAACGCGTTCATTGTCAGTTCGAAATATAATATCGCGATATTTTGGAGAAGAAAGAGAAAAATTCCGTTTGCTCCGAGCGAATTTCGGTGAATTGGGCCTTTCGCACTTTAACGGAAAAACACGGTTGTAACCGTAAAGATAATATTTTCGTTTGGCGATCGACGAGGAATCGATATTCGAGATGTTTTTTGGCTCCTCGTAAAGTTTGCCTCGTACGTTTAAAGAACGTTTAAAGATCGGTCCTTCGGCGTCGCCGCTTTACATTCTAAGCACCGAGATTCGAGTTCCTTCTCTCGTCACGTCCTTGCTCTTTATATTCGTTCGTTTCTATGTCCTGGAAGGGACGCTCTTTGACGCTCCCTCTATAAGAATCGAAGAACGAACCGCCAATCGAATTTACGAGGCGACTAAAGCTTTTTCACTTCGCGCACGATATAAAACGATATAAAAGAAGAATAATTTTGATGAGTTTTCCATTTTTCATATCGCGAAGCGCAGAACGCGCTCGGTTGCGTAGAAATCGATAGGAGTAAATTATCTCTGATCCCGTAGACATAACGCTAATCCTTTCTCACTGGTTCCTGGCGTTTTTCAGTGTTCGGACGACGCTCCTGAAGCTCCCGGCTAGCGAAGAGCCCGTCGCGGCTCTCACACGTCGGCCCTCGCTTTTTCATGCTGGCAAATAAAATTAGAAGCGTCGATAACCTCGCGAAACTCTCTTTCGAGGCTTGCGCATCGAGTGGCGCGCAAATAACGCGGAAGAGCCAGAGAGTGTCCTCGATCGGAAGAGGGTGCAAGTACTCGGCATGAAGGGTGAGTGCGTTCATTTGTTTATTCCCATATCGCACGGCTCCGTGAAGCTTAACTAAAAATAGTCAAGCATACCGTCCAATCACCGTTCACACGGCTACGAAACTGTAACGATATATTATTGCGCGATTATAGGAATTCCAACGTTGGATTTCTCTCTCTTTGGGATAGCTACGAATTTAAACGATCGAAACGATTTTTCTTCGTTTCCTGTTCTATCGGACCGACGCAAACCGACGCTAATTACGTAGCGCATAAACCAGTCTTCAATTTATCATACGTCATTAATCAAGGCGTAAGCTGCAACATCGAACGGAGCTCTCGCTCTATTAGCCTGTCGATTCGCAGTTATGTCGCGCGTTATTAATTGAAAACGAGAGCGAACTCGTGAGCCGTTTTCCACAAAGGGACGAACAATGTGGACGAGCTGCTGTACACGGCGGAGCTTCCCGTACGAAGGATCTATCGCTGAAAAATGGGGCTTCCCTCTTTTACCCAAAGCCTCGTGGAAAATATTTCTCAGTCGATCGTTTTCTTTTCCTTTTCTTCTTTTTCCGATCGATCTGGATTCCTTAATTATTATTTGGAGAAAAGAGAGAAGAATCAGATATGTGAGATTTTAAAGAAATCTTTACGATTTGGTGTATCGTGCGAGTTCGCCGACTGCCAGGCGTACCTTTCAATCTTTTTACCTTGCGTCTTCGGTCATAGAAGCCGGTCGACGGTTCCATTAAGAAATTGTACGAAGAAGACAACGCGTCGCGATACTACCACCTTCTTCCTTAGTACCGATGGGCGTATTTTTTCTTTTTTTTTTTCCTTTCTTTTTTTTTCCTTTCTTTTCTTCATTCGCGAACACTACGCATATCGTACGGCGAAATGGAACTAGAAAAACGAGAGGGAAGGTGGTGCAGGCGTCCAGAAAAAAGGTGGAAAAATTCTTTCTACGTTTGCGAGAGCGATATAAAAGTGTAGTCCCGTTGCTCGTCCTACACTTTAATTACGTTTCCTTGGTAGCGGGTCGCGCGTTTCGGCACGACTCGAGGCCGGCGCCAGTGTCGGCGTGGTCGTACTCTACGCAAATATTTGTCTCGTCGACCTTAATGGACGACGGCGATATTTAAGTGGAAAAAGAACGGCCGTGTACGAATTCGCGGATGTCCTTTCTTCTCTCGCTCCACCTTCTCTTTTTTTATTTCTCACCTTTTCGACCGAGTTCTCTAATTGTCCCTTCTTTTTCCCTTCCAAATACTGGTCTTAAATACTGGTCTTTTGCGATAAATCATAATTATTCTGGTTGCGATTAGTACGAAATAATCCCCTTTCGTTCATCGATCACAATTTCGAAGCCGATGAATTCTCGTTAAAACTACCTTCATAGGGTATGAATTTTTTGCGTCGACGTTTTTCCATCGAGTTTCCATGGTATTATCACTTGAACCAGTTTTCTATTATTTATAATGGTTCTCTTCCAATCCATTACATTTTTTCCCGTCGTTCTTTTCTATCCCCAAACAATGGTTACGACGAATACAAGTTTCCCTTTCGTTCCTCACGATTATTCGCGTGCTATTATTCGGAAATATTAACGAAAAATGTAACGCTCCAGGCGTTTGTTACGATTGGTTAAAAACAAATAGAATTGTAATAGGGAGAAATCGGAGAGGGTAATTAGCGCCGCATTATTCTGTACTACGAGTACTTGAGACCGTCTACTTCTCCCGCTCGACGACATTTACAATGTCGTCGACGGTCGAAAGGGTCGGTACCTTTACACGCCAGTTAACAAGATTTTTGAGATTTTCGAGCGCTTCGAATCCTTTCGAGTATTTATTTTCGAGGGAAAAAAACGATTCAATGTCTCCTCAAGCCCTTTCTTCTTCTTCTTCTTCTTGTTCTTGTTCTTCTTCTTCTTCTTCTTCTTCTTCTTCTTCTTCTTCTTCTTCTTCTTCCTCTTCTTGTTCGGGGCGAAATGAAACTGGCCGACAGTGTCTAGGGGATTTTAACGCGATTAAGTGTAACCTCTTTCGGCCCAGTTTTCAACTATTATCGCAGCGTTAAAGCTAATCACCGTGGCTGGCGCACGCACCAACTTTCTTTATTAATTATTTTCGATCCGGAAATATTTTATTTAGAAACGTACGATAATCGACGCTTCAAATACGATAAGCTTTCTACTTTGATCAAAGTTGGACGCCAACAATAGGATATTTCCATTAACGAGATTTTTCGATCGCATTTCCTTCTCCTAGTTCTTCCTAAGTACATCCTATACGGTTACCCTCGCTAAACTAGTTTTGCTCTCGTTAATGGGGACTTTAAAAAAAAAAGTCTATGGTAGTGATCCAAATTTATACGCAAAAAATCGTCGTTTCGTCGAGAGGATCGGTGATAAAGACCAATCTCACATAGAACGGATTCGCTAACGGTTGGATAATCAATCGCGCTTACTCGCGCGAAAGAAAAAGATACGTAAAGGATGTATTTGAGTTACTTTTAACAAAGCTCTTTCGAGCTTTTGGAAAATCGAACGGCCCTCGACTATAGTTCTTTAGTTCGATAGAGGTGGCCGAAGACGTTTATTAAAGTCCATTCTCAAACTGCGCTGGTAGAGTTTTACCTTATAGATAGTTCTTCGCGAATAAGAGCAACGATGCGTATCTACACGGGTAGATGGATAAGTTGGTGGAAGAGCATAAAGAAAATAGTTGCTCGAAGAAAAGTTTTCTTTGCGGTTTGAAGAACGTTGGCTCTATTACGAAGAGAGAGAGAGAGAAGAGCGTTCCGATGAAAGGAAAGAAATGGAGAAAAAGAAGGGTTGACGTGGACCAAGCTGGAAAGTATGTAAGTGGGAAAGTAAGACGAGCACGGATGAGAAAAGTAAAAAAGGTACTAGAGAGAGAGAAGTACCATGGAAAAAAAAGAGAAGAAGAGAAAAAAAATTGACAAAGGGCAAAGACGGGAAAAGCAAATAGATAAAAAGCAGACGCGAGAGACGAATCTTGCGACAGGCGAATTGCCTCTCAAGATTTCAAAGGCTATCGATGCAATTCTTTAGTTCGATCTTTCTTTATTTTCTTTAGGCCGTGTAATCAATGCGTCGATTATTCGTCGGACAAAACAGATCGATGAATCTGGACGCAATCCAGACGTTAGTGGTCACCGTGATAGTACCTTTTTAATCTCGCGGCGAAACGAGCGGACCGATAGGCGTATCAATGTCGCGGTCGTTTATTCGTAAAGGGAGGAAAAACAAACTATCTATCGCAATTTCGTTCCGTCGGGAATTGCCGTTGGGAATGCACGCCGCATGACATTCATCGAATGTCGGAAACGAATGCGAATCGTATCGTAATCGTAAATAGCTATTCCTTCGTTTACAATCATTTTTACGTGCATCTAATGGAAGTTTCCTTGAAAAAGAGCTTCGCGCGGAACGATGACTTATTAAAGGAGACTTTGAGGAAAATTATAAAAAAGAAAAGGTTTGAATTTTTTGGGCTCGTTCGAGAGAAATCGGGCTCCGAACGTTTTAAGGCTTTTATTCGACTCGACTCGACTCGACTCGAAGAGATCGAAATGGTGTTAAGACGATATTTTAAGATCGCGAGGTAGGAATTTTCGCTGCTTGACGAAGCGGTTTGTCGACCGGGGAAACGTTGAGAGAGGGAGAAAGCATTCTTCTGCGGAACAAATTGGCTGCGGTCGGAGGGAGCAATAGTCGCGTCGACAAATAGGGGCTGTTTACTTATGTAGGTCGACAAACAAAATAGGTGTCGCGCTTAGCTAGCGTTAGTTCGTTCGACGAGGTAACGGCGTGGGGGTGATGGGGGGGAGGACGGGTTAGTAGAAAAGACGGTACCAGAGACGGCGAACGGACGGCAACGTCGACGTGTAGAGCGAATAGTAGGAGAGGTGTCTTTGCGAGCACGTAGTAAAGCGAGTCGATCGCTCGAGTGTATAAGCTCGGATCCATAAGTCATGAGGTTGAACGCGTTCAACCGCCTTTCCGACGCGAGGAACAACCTCGCCGGGATACAACACGGAGGAGTAGAAGCCGTCTAGTGTAGAGGTGTTTGCTCGAGACTCAGCCGAGCGCCGTTATCGGTTACCGGTTTAGTCTCCTACACCTATATCTCTCATACTCCGCTCTTCCTTCCTTTTTATTCCTATCTAAGCCTCTCTCTCTCTCTCTCTCTCTCTCTCTTCCTTTTTTACATTCTTTTTAAAGTCATTTTCCTAATCCACCCAAAAGAAGACACACTCTTCTTGATCGATCGGATACGTTTGTTTAAATATCGTAGGTGTGCTCCTACGATCGATAAAGGATGTTTCGTTGGGATATGCGGTAGGTCCTGCGGTCTGTTCGAGAATCAACCACTGTTTCGGTGGTAGAGCTTTGGTCGGCGGTTCAGACGCCTCGCTTCGGACCTTTTGCCGATCGAGAAACCGATCAAGATCATCCGCAAGATCATCGATTCGAAATCATCGATATTGCTACGGTATCATTTTAATTCCCTCTTTCTCCCTCTCTCTCTCTCTCTCTCTCTCTCTCTCCTCGTCTCCCTTTGAAAGGGGAGGAAAAATACGTTTATACGTGTAACGCTATCGCGTCTCGTACGCATACCTATATATCCGTTTACGAGAAACGAGCCACTACAAAGGATCGATCGGTCGTTTGCGCGAAAAACGCGCTTTTGTAACTTCCACAAACGCTCTCGCTTTGAAACGAGTATCGTTCGTCGTTCTCCGAACGCATACCTTCTCCTTCTGAATTTCTCGAAACGGCCCTTTCGTCGGAGCGGACCCCTTTGTAAGCGTTATCGATCGACGAACGAAGAAACGTCAAACGCATAAGTGGCGCATTTCAAAGACTTGCATCTACCAGCTTGGAATTTGTTCTAAGAATCGTTCATCTCGTTGTTACTCCATTTTTTTAAGTCACCAAGTAAACACGATATATGGATATATTTTTCGAAAAGAAATCGCTCGAGTATTTCGGT